GGGTTAAAGCAAACTGTGGGGTGCCTACAATTACTAACCTACAATTAATATATGGTGTCTGGGTTCAGATACCAAATAGCAACCCCCAATCAGATCAACAGGGAGTTGAGTATTCAAACTGTCCATGGAATGTTCCAGCTTAAAACTAACCTGGGTGTGACCCATGATTTGAATTCTGGGTTGTGGTGTAAAACAAAAAGTTGTTATGCATGAACAACAAACTCATAGTTTATTATTGGCTTAACTGTTTTTCTGAATCATAAGTTGTTATATGTGAAGCATGAGTTGATTTACTAAGTGAAAGAGTTGGCAGGCAAGACTAGTTAAAAAAAAGTCATCTTACATTCCAGTACTACAGCATCATAAAACATTTGGTTGCAGGAAAGGCGTGGGACATTGGAAAATCATGGTTTAATGGGTTAATTATGATTTAAATAGACCATGGATAAGTACTTTGTGTGAACCTGGTCATTTGAGTTTCAGTTCAAGAAAAAGGGCAAAAAGATGGGGGACAGCAACATCCAGCAAACCCCGATTTGTTGGACTGGGAGTGCTACTTCTGAAATAAATTAATTCAGAAATAACGAAGGCTGTGGTATGCTAGTTACATAGCAAGTGTAAGCCTAAGCCAGACAATGAAATCGGTGGAGGTACTTGATACGGGAAACCTTTTAAAATAATATCATGATTAATGATATCTGTCACTGAAAATGTATCATTACAGAATTGTTCGTGCATCACTGGCAGCCTTAATTATGCCTTAATATTTCATGGCATTTTATTACTGTCTTGCTTAATAACTGATGTCAATATTTGCTTATCTTAGACATTAGAAAGCAGGAATACCGTTGGATACAGAATAAAGATTGAAAGAGTACCCAACTATTGCCCCAGCCCAATTTCCTTCAACCTAACAGAGAACTGGCTACATGTGAATCTCTCCATGGCTTATTACAGAATCAACATCTCTGCTGCTAATGAAGCAGGAGAATCCCCTCCAGTAACATACACCGTTCCAGATTTTACTACAACAGGTTGAGCTAGAATATTATTCTGTCAAGACAATGTTACAAAAAACCAGCAAAGAATCGAACTTTCTACTCATGTTCTGCTTAAGACTACAATCTTAAGCTCCTCTTTATGTGCTTGCTTGCTTAGTTTTATATCTGTTTTGTTTTTTCCCAAGCTCAATAAGTTTGTCTCTTAGGTTGTTAAAATCACTCTTTCCTTTCCGTCGGAAGAGAAAAATATCCAAAGCATGCAGAGAGTTATTTTTAAAACTTTATTGCAACAAAGGGAACAGAAAAAAATGGTTTCCTTCCCATTTTGCTGTTCACCTGAGCACATGTTCACATCCCCTTTTTATGCCCTGCCCCTGGCCGCTTCTCCCTCCTCCTTTCCCCTCATTGGCTGGGGTACCGGGAGTTTACATCTTTCCCGCCTGCCTCCTCCGCACTGCTCCAACACCGGCCCTTCTTCCCAATCCAGCCCTGCCCTGGTGGGCCACGGTGGGCTCATTTTGTTCTGCCAAGCTCCTCAATAAACAATCAGGAAGTATTTGGCCCTCCTGCCTACCTGCCTGTTTCCCCACACTTTGTGCTACCTGATTTTAGCCCCTCCCCTCCTTTGGGCTAAGTAATTTTCTTTGTTACCTTTTAATCTTTCTACTCCCTTGTTTCAAATCATCCTTTCACATCTATCAAGTCCCAGATGCCGAGGAACACATGTGGGAAGGTGCTATTGCATATTCTCCACCTAGGCTTCCCATAAGCATCTGGTTGGCTACTCTAGGAACAAGATGTTTTATTCAATAGGCCTTTAGTTTCATCCTCTTTAGTTTCCTGTCCTTAAAATCCAATGCAAAGGTCAGCATGTCAGCCCACTTGAATTAGCAGGCTCAGTGTACTTAACTGTAAGGAATTCCTGTAATGTGGAAATCCCAGGACAATATCATGTTTGTCTTCCAGTTAAAATAATAGCATTTGCTTTCATATCAGTTGTGGATTGGAATGTCCATGCAGAATATTAGTTTTATTTTAAAAATGTTTCTTGCTATTCCCCTTCCTGTTACAGATTTACCTCTCCAAATCAACATTTCCAGTCATAACATCTCCAGTACTGTTATCACCTGGAATCTAAAATTCAAGGCAAGGTATATTGTGGTGGATTGGGGCACTGGAATAGAAGACATGAGCACACATGTATTATCTGGCAGTGAGCAGAGCAAGAAACTAGGTAAGAAGCCAGCTTGTTACTTCTGCAGCACAGAGGTTTCCTTCCATTTCTGCCTTTAGAAAATATAAAGAATTAGCTGGCTACTGTACTTGAGCTAGGATCCAGTAGTACTCATATGGAAAGCCAGTGTGGTTTAGTGAACTGGGGGCGTGGGAGATGTGAGCTCTAGTCCTCACTCAGCCATGAAGTTTACTGGGCAATTTGAGGCCAGCCACTCACTTCAACCAAACCCACCCCACAGGGTTGTTGTGAGGATAAAACGGAGCTATGCGAGCTGCCTTGGTTCCTCACAAGAGGAAAAAGGGTGGGACAGAAATACTCTGCAATAACAATGATAACAGCAGCAGCAATAGATGTAACAGCAACCAGCCTGAAATGGGAACAAGAACCTCCATCTTCATCAAAAGATGCTTCTAGTCAAGCGTGCTGGAGAAGTGTGAGGAAATCAGACCCTGAGGCTCTCCGCACATAATGGGGACGCACCCAGTACGGACTCCCCTGCGGTTGTTGTGCCACTGGCTGCCATTCTGAAAATTCAGGCTGTGGCGGGGTTGTTGTTGGTACAAATCTGGGGAGGGAAGGCTGTTGGGTAGTTAGCAAGCCAGCACAGCCCAAAAACAGGCCGTGGCTTCTGAGTGGCTTCTTAATCTTAGGCTACCCAAAAATCACCCTCAGGGGCTTTATATGTAAGGACAAGCAGCAGGGTCCTCTCCACGCCATCATGGCTCAATGTTCGAAATGTGCAGTGGAAAGCCCTTCAGGACTTCATCCACAGTGGCTTGCTGGTGTATGCAGATCGGGAAATTGTGTGTTTCCTTCTATACCCAGACCAAAAGCTGACCAGAACTGGGTGTGCTTGAGCCCAGGTGAACCCAGTCTCTGCTCTGCTCTGGAAAGCCTGCTTCCCTGCATGGGTCTCCTTTTCTGGGGTTCAGGGGCTCTTTTGACCCAGCAGGCTGTTTTCAGAATTGCTGGCTTATATTGGGTGGCTATTGGGTGGCATACACAGCCCTTTTGTTAAAGAAGAAGTGGAAATGGGTCCAATTATATTCACAGCAGTTACGGTTGGATGTAGCTGTCAAGAAGAGTAAACTCTAACCGCATATTCAATAAAAGATGAAATCTTTGTGTTCATAACAATGGATATAGAAACAGGTTTTACAACAGTACTGAACTATACACATAAACCATGAAGTAAAGGTGACACACACCATCTGCTTTGGTACAGCTTGCAAAATCCTGCAATATATACAAAACCAAATACGTGGAAAAGCAACATCGAAAAGACTGAAAACCCAAGAAATCAGCAGAGAGACCCAGTGATTAGAGAGAAAATATTCCCCATTCTTCCCCCATGGGTGCCCTTCAGCCCTCTTGCTCTGCCCTTGAAGCAAAGTCCTATTTATCTTTTCACCAACGTCATCCCACTCATTACCAACAAATTCCTGTTTCAGCAGACATACCAGCAACAGCAGCTAAATCAAGACCAGCAGTACCTGCTACATCTCCCCATTTGCAATTTCCTCCATTAGCAAACTCACAGGAGAAAGGGTATAGATGTCACGCTGAGACACATCAAAACAACCTCCTGGCTGAGAAGATTGCCGCCATCTGTGCCCAACCGATGCCATGAACTTTACTCACGGCTCTCTCACAACCCAGTCAGCTTCTCCTCGTCTTCTTGAGAACGCGGCCTTGTGAAATCGAAGCACGACCTCGTGCTGGCTGCAAAGTTCATCTGACGGATATGCAAGGCGCCTCGAACGCGGAGGCAGCCGGGGCTCTTGTCCTGCATACTGAAAGGCGATGCGCAGGCGATGCTGGCAAGCAGATCAGCCGGGACTGGCTGTCCTTCCCGGTGGAGGGCATCGGATCGGAGTGGCTATCAATTATGCATCACCTCTTCTCCTTGACTTTCTTTCATTACACATCCACGCCCCTCGGGTTGCGCTGTGTGAAAGTTCCCGCACAGAAAATCCATACATGAACTATCCACAAAGTAATTTTCTTTTCCCAGAACATACCTTGGAGGTTCAGCAGACGTGACGTAGCGCAGCTTGAACGACAAGGCCGCATGTCTCTGTGGCGTTTGTTTATCTCACGTGGGGTGGGCTGTGGGGTGGGGTGGTTGTCTTCTGCACCTGCTTTGCATGCAGAAGACCCCAAATTCAAATCCTGGCATTTCGAGGTAGGGCCAGAAAGCAATGTCACAAAAACCTGGAAAGCTGCTGTCAGGAGTGACAATTGGCCACGGGATCAGAGGGACCAGCGGTTCAGTCTGAGGCGTAGTACTGGATACAGCCATCAGCTCAATGATCAACCAACTCCACGCATCATTTAAGGGCCAACTGAAAGCCAGGGTCAAAGGTGGCAAATGAATGTGCATGATGAATTCGGTGCAGATGTAGGTGCTTGTGGTGGGAATGGGGAGAGCAGCATCCGTAAAATTCCACAGAGGCACAGGCCCTTGGTGTAGCTTTGGGAGGACAGGAGGGACCATCCTGGGGACAGAGTGGCAGGGAAGGCCACTGCCACCAGCCCCGCGGTGTGAGCTGAAATGGGAATCTTACCTTTTCTTGATGATGATGATGGTGATGATGCACTTAAATTTCATAGGAACCTGACAAATTTGTAAAATGCATCTTATTTTTTCCAAAATTGTATCGTTTCTGACTATATATTTGCAAATATTATTTTTGTATCTGTTTTCTAGATAACCTCCAACTATGTAAGTTATATAAAATAATCGTACATGCATTTGACTATCCATGCAAGGGCCTCAGGATGAATGAACGGACTCTAGCCATGACTTACTATGCAACAGAAGGAGGTATTCTCCTAGCAGTATCTTTTTATTTTTTTATTCTGAAAAAAATCTTGTTTTTCATAGAATCATTGAATAGCAGAGTTGGGAGGGGCCATGAAGGCCATCGGGTCCAACCCCCTGCTGTTGCAGGACACCACGTTACACCATCCCACTCAGATGGCTGTCCAGTTTCTCTTCGAATGCCTCTAGTGTGGGAGAGCCCACCGCCTCTCTAGGCAGCTGGTTCCACTGTTGTATTGCTCTGACAATGAGGAAACTTTTCCTTCTATGCAGTCTGAAACTGGGTTGCGCTCATTATTTCTAATAAATCCCAGCAAAGCTGCCATTACAGTGAGAGAACACAGTCCAAGTAAGATGTCACAACCAGTCCTCTGTCGTGTAATGGGCTGGTTTGGGGCTGTGCAAAAGAGAGTGAGGGAACATGTATGACAAAGGTTGTTATGCTCCATGGCTTAGCCTACCTCACAGGGCTGTTGTTGCAAGATTAAAACAGCTATGTAAGCTATAGCGGGTTCCTCACAAGAGGAAACAAGATGAGATATAAATGCAATGTAAAAATGCAATGTCGAAATAATCTCTGTGTCTGAAGTACATAAGCTGCTTGTTATTATCTGTGTTTTATTACTAAAGCATAAATCCTTGGTCTTCTCATTTTCAATTTCTTTTTGCTTATGAAAATCAGTGAGCCAATCCGCTAAGAATGGAAACTAACGTCAAAACACAAATGGACTGTTTCACGAAGGGAGCAGCTTGGTGGTGGGACTATCAAGAGAGTGGCGGGGGGGGTCTTTGCCGGGTCCGGCCTACAGGAATAGATCGGCCAGTCCAGCCCAGGCGGAGGCCACTGTCTGTGTTGGTCTGGGACCAACCAGTTTGTCAATGGGATAGGATGACAATCACAATCCAAGAGACGCAGATGCAGTAGGCAAAAATGGACGCAAACACAGAAGCAATGCAGTCCACTAGCTGCAACGCATGGCAGGGCGGGAAATACGCCTAGGTGCTGCTGTGAGTTTTGGGGACGGAAACATGAACTGGAATCTCCTTTCAAGTCCCCAGCGTAGCGCCGGCCAATGTAACAATCCCGCTTGTGACAAAGCATTCAGCTGTCGTGAAATGGGTGGCGATATCTGCAGACGAGTGTTTCGGATTCCTTCGGGCTTACAGAATTCACTACACAGAAATCCTGAAAAACTTCTCTTTTGGTAAGACCACTCTATTGACTTTTATTATCATCAGAAGAGTTATCATCTATCTAGTCCACAGGCAAAAGCGTGCCTCTAAGTTGAAATCTTGGAAGAAATTATGTGCATGTTTTTAGCTTTTTGGCTGTTTTGGCCAATGGCATCTTCTCCCCACAGGCGAATTGGAGCTTAGTAGGGGCAGAAGACAGTGGAAGGATGTTCCACTGGAACCATGGAGGTCTCTCTCCCTCTCTGTGTGTGCCTGGGGGTGGGGGCTGGAGGGGGGAAAGTCAGGAAACCAGCGAGGCAGCAGGCCGTTAGATCTGCTCTTTCCCATTCTCTTACAAAAAGATACATTCAGTTCCAAGTGTGACTGAACGATTTAGATGCTATATGAAGTCTCTCTCGCACAAGCTGCTATTACACGTGGAGGGAGAAAATACAGACAAAATGGGCATTGCCAATGTTTACTTCAGAGGTGTTTAGACTGCCCTTCTATGCAAAATGCCAGCACACTATACAACATGTTAGAAAGACCATAAGAGCAGCCATGCTGGATCAGCCCAGTGGTCCAGCAGGCCAGCACTCCATTTGCAGAGGTCAAACCAGCGGCCCAAAAGATCCCTCAGGCAGGATGGGTGCGAGAGCTCCTCCTGTGAATTTGTCAGATCCCCTTTTAAGCTCACCTCCAGGGAGAGATCTGCACATGTGGATGTGGCAAGGTCACATGTACCCCGCCTGCTTGAGGGATCCTGCGGGCAGCTGGTTTGCTACCATGTGCACAGAGTGCTGGACGGGATGGGCCATGCTCCTGATCCAGCATGGCTTTCTTAGATCCTTAGGTTCCTAAGGTTAGTGCAGAGATTACTCCCCACACACCTCTGTTGTCATGGCCCTAGTCCAAAATGGTCACCCTTTTGGCAAGTCAATATACTTGGGTTAATCCATTAGACACAAACATCATGTTTTCATGGTTCAGCTGTAGCAGTTCCAAATTCATTCATTACTTGTGAATTCTGGTGGGAACAAAGAATGTCACTCGCATATTACCTTACAGAAATATTACAATATTGCATTCTGACATTCTGCTCATTCATTTGGCTGTCGCTCACTTACTGCTTCTTGCCCTCTTGCATCACAGATGTTGCCATCAATTCTTCAGCTAAGCAATACCAGTTGAAAGAACTTAAGGCAAAAACTCGTTACAGTGTACGCATCTCAGGAGTCACCGGGAAGGGAGAAGGAGCTCAAAGCCAGCTTCAATATTTCACTACGCTGAGATATGGTATTGCTACATTTTAATGTATTTATTTTTACTTGTGGAAGGCCTATCCTGCACTCCAATATAGATATTACCAGGATGCTCACATTATCAAACAATAATGTGTTAGATCCAACAGCTTCCCACAGCAGAACTAGGAGAAAGTTTTCTCCATTCCATAGAAGCTACTCCAGAGTGTTGAAAAACTTTTTCAAGAAGCCTAGAGGGCTACCGTGGGGAGTGCCTGGAGCGGGTTGCCCCAGTAGGCTAGCAGACTTCCACTGATGTGATGTTAGATGTAACCCAGTGGGTCAACTGGTCTTAGCAAATCACTTAAGGCCCCTGCCCCAACCCCAACTGCTCCTGAAGGATGCGATTCCTTTAGGAATCCCCCTGGGTGTGGTGAGGGATCAACAAAATCCAGCTGCCCTAACTTGCCAGGGTAGAAGCCCTTCCAGATATAGCAAAGCCACCACTGGATGCAGTCCAATAACATAAATAATTGCAATAACATAAAACAACACTGAAAAGTTCAATTTTATTTATTCATTTGTTTGTTTGTTTGTTTGTTTTAATTAATTTCCATACCACTCAACAGCCAGAGCTCTCTGGATTAAAACAATCCAGGAGTTTTTACTATTCTAGAAAAACAAAAACTGACTGCTGCAAAAGACAAAAAGAAAATCCAGACTGCATGAGACAAGACTGGACTTGGGGAGAGCTTTCTGCAGGAGATGCCACTGTGGAACAGACGCCCTCCAGCCCAGCCAAGAGGGTGCGCACGTTGGGCCAGGCCCTCTCAACCATTATCTCAGTGCATGGACGGGCGAGGAAAGGGTTAATATGTTGCCAGGATCAAAGTCCCAGTTTTGGTTATTTGGATTACTCTAACCCACAGGATGCATTTTTAGATTATTTATTACTTAGATTACCTTTTGATTATTTAGAACCTTAGATTATTTATTATTTTTATTTTAACCTTAAATTACTAGATTATTTTAACCTATTTTTTTCTTTCCAGATCAAGGGGAACTGGAAGGAATCATTGCTGGCTTTTGTCTTGGCATCATATTGGCCCTAACTATTGCTGTCATACTTTGTTCCCTAATGTTTAAAAGGTAAGGGGTTTCGTGGCATGGACATTATTGACTGGCCATGCATGTTCTCATTCATTCAGCCATATTATTCAGTTGTCTAAGTTGCTGTGTGTGCAGCCTGCAATTTCACCTATACTGAATGCATCCCCTGGAGGCAAAAATGTTTTGCCTGTTCCAAGCATAAGCACCGGAGTCCAAAATGTGGCAAAGTTCTTTAAAATCATGGTCTCTCTTTGTGCCTGACTGGAGCACACATTATCTGATGGTTCAAAAGCTGTTGACTCCATCTCAGCTTTCCCAGGAACAAACCACTTGCTGTTGTCAATTCACAATCTTTTAGGGGGGTTTCCTCCTATGTAAAATATGACTAACATGAACCTACCACACAGCTATAAAAACGTTAGCACTGCCATTCTGCTCCAACTAATCGGAAACTAAGCACCACTGAAGTTAATGAGAGTCTGGTTTAAAGAGACCTGTATAGGATTGTGTTGTAAAGCACAACAGTACGATCTGGAAGGAGAGCCAAGATCCACTGTGGATTAACCTCTTGCTGACACCAACAAAGTAAAGAGAGTTTTTCTCCTTTCCCCTTCCTTTGTCAATGCAATTAAAAAAAAAAAAAAAAAACCCTCAGCTGGTACCAGTGAGGGATAAATGCCCATGCCAGCATCAGGAGCCCCATGTGACTTCTGGGGTGTGGGGAGAAGGGGAATGGGGAAATGGGGTGCTTGTCCCATCCCCCACAGACAACTCCTCCTTGCTTTTAATGCCATTGGAGTGCCAATGGTGGAGTGGTAAATGCAGAAGGGGCTTCCACACCCCAATAATAAAACCCGGGAGGGCAAGACCACCTTCTCAGCCGACAAATCTTCCTCTGTGGGCAGAGGGTGAGGTTCTTGACATCCTCTAGCCCCCAGGACACCCTGCCATATGCAGACTGGGACAAAATATTTTCAAGAAACTATTTGTCCAGTGTTCAGGCTTTGAGAGTGCACTTTATAAAATAAACAGTTTAAGGAAAATTAAATATACATACAGAAGGTTCAGTAATAACTTCAAATGCTTTTGCATTCATTGCTTGGAACCTGAAAACCAGGACTGGCGTTATTTCTCTGTGAGTAGATAGACTGAATACTGCCTGCCGGTAACAAAATGAGCTTCTCTCTATGTAAGAATTGAACATTTAGGAAAGAAGCATTTATATTCCAGAAAGAAACTGGTTCCTATGCCTTTTGCTTTGGGTGCTTTGTAATGATATCAAAACAAAAAAAAAATATTTCAAGCAACATGTGCAAAATTGCATTTCTTTACCAAGGAGACTTCAAAGGTGTATTTTCATATATATTTGTCCAGGGATTGCTTTGCTACATCCCACTCACCCACCAAGAAGTGGCAGATAAATTGCATTCCGCACTTAGTCTATTGGATCGCTCAACAGAAGCCCAGCGCAAATGTAATTATTTCATTTTTAAAAGGCTGTTTGACTCCACTTGACCAATTTTATATCCAATGAATATTAATAGCAGTATGAAACTTGTGGAACTTGTAGAATTTTAGTGACTAAACATAATTTTTTCATTTTAAACAAAACTTATGCTTACAGATCAAGGAAACTGTGTTGGCCAGCCATACCAAATCCAAGATACAGCAGCGCTACACGGAATATGGAAAGAACCTTTCCAGTGGTATGAAAGCATCACTTTACAGCGTTATGGCACCATTACACTTTTAGGTTTCATTCATTCTTTATATTTCTATTCCACTTCATAGCTGAAGCTCTTTAAAGGATTAACCCCGTGCATGATATCAGATTAACCCCGATATCATGTAATCATAGAATAGTAGATTCAGAAGGGCCAAGAAGGTCATCCAGACCAACCCCCTACTGTTTACACCATCCCACTCAGATAACAGTCTAGTTTCTTTCTGAATGTCTCTAGTGTGGGAGAGCCCACCACCTCTCGAGGCAACCAGCTCCACTGTTGCATCACTCTGACAGTGAGGAAAATTTCCTGGTATGCAACTTGAGCTGACTATTCCGTGCCTACCTTCTGGTACGAGAGATCTTGTCCTTCCTCTTTGAGACAGATCAAATACATCTGTTTTTGTAGCAATTACTGTAGGTTCCCAAATTATTTCCTGGCTCTTACATTTGCCCAAATTTACCCAACAGCCCTTAAAAAACCCTTAGAGGGGGGCTGAATGGACAGAGCAGATGGGGTGCCTGTACCTACCTCCCCTCCAGCAGGGCCTCATGAACACCACCTCATGCAGCTGCCTTCTCGGGGTTCTAGTTTCCCCTGTAAAAGGCTGTTAAGGAGATTTGTGCACCTCCAAGGAAGTACAGTAATTGTTCTGAAAACAATCTGTGAAATGTGTGCTTGTGAGAAGTTAATAACTCCCATTTCTGGAGAGCAGAGGAAGTACGCAAACGGCAGAGGCCATTTAGAAGTGTTGCTTCAATCGGGGCAAGCAAGAGGATCACATGGCCGGGGGGAGACCTTGTTGCCGCTCTGTTGGTGCATTCCTGGATTTCAGTGCTACTGGGTCCCTCCTTCCGCTGATTGCCCCTCCTTTCTCCCCCAGCCTTCATAGCTGTGCTCAGAGCAGCCTGGGTGCAGCCTCATCTGGGCAAGTTCCTTGTCGATTTGTTCCCCATGCCACTTTGGCACTCGCTTTGATGGCTGGCACAGACAAGGGGGTGTGCGCGTATGAGACACACATATGTATCGAACTGCTGAAGCTGCACTCCTGCACACTTGTGGTAACTTCAGCATGGGTAGTGACTGAGTGGGGAGGGGGCTGGGATGAGGAGATAAGATGGCTGTACCACAAAGGATATTGGGATATGTGCATGGTGTAAGAGGTAGGACTGTGGAGCACAAGCCAGGATGATGAGCTGCCATGTGACCAGTGGACTGTTGGGGGTAACCTGGGTTGGTGATCAAGCAACCAATCCACAGCTTGCCATTACATGCAAACAGGCCGGTGCCACGCTATGATTCACCAAGCTTTGAAAAAGCCAGTCATTTGCTGCTTTTGCTTCTCACTAATTTAGTTGTGATTTGCATTGATTCTTGGCCATGTTATACACTATTCAGTTTACCGTCACTGGTTTAAAAAAAAGCCATGACATGCCTTCTGCACCCTTTCCATTTGGTTTGCAGGCTATCCCGGGATCATTTTTTCAGGCACAGCCATCAAATGGAGCCAATCAACTTTATGTGGAAGATAACCAGTCAAAAACACTCTTAAGGCTGGGGTCACTTTCTGTGGACACACATACAAGGGACCCTTTTACAGACCAGTCTGAAGCACCTGCAGACGAAAAACTGGGCAGTTCGCTGAACCATTTGAAAATCCCTGCAGCAGTCAATTTTGTCGAGAAGGGAAAGGCTGGTGTGCACAGTGATTATGTTGGTGTGGAAGTCAGTCACAGAGCCATGCAGAAGCTCTCAGCTGGTCTACTCACAAGAGCGATGAAGCTGCCAAATGAATTGTCTGACAATTCAGGACAGGCTGGACAAGCAGCATGTCCTCAAGGTTCTGTGAAGCAACATGAGGCGGTGCCCAGGGCCAACAACTCAATTTACAGAAAATAAGTTAAAGCTTGAGCAGAAACTTGTTGGTTGTAGGTTATGTAAATACAGTTAATATTCATGCAGAAAACAAAGCAGCAGTTAAATAAAGATTCTAGTCACACAGGAACACCTCATCCCTCCAATATTATTCCTTTTAATCTGGATGGCATATAATGCAATGTGTATACACAGCATTGTGGAATCTAATTATGATAATAAACCAAACTGAGCTTAAGTTCTGCAACACAGATGATTTTAATTCCTTTCTGCTGCACTAACTTAGATGGTTGTTATGTGCCATCAAATCATGCTGATCTGAATGAATATTTTCCAAAATGTCCCGTCAAGCTCTCTTGAGGCTGTGGTTTCCTTTATGGGATCAGTCCAGGTCATAGTTGGCCTTTCTCATCTTCTTCTTCTTCTGCCTTCAACATTATTGTCTTCTCCATTATTGCCTTCTCATGATATACCTAAATTATGAAAGTTCTGGTTCAATTTGATCTAAGATGCACTTGAACATCTTTCTGTCAGTTTAGGGTATTCACAAAGCTTTCCTCCAACACCATGTTTCAGATGCGTCCATTTTCTTCCTGTTGGCTTTCTTCGTTGTCCAGCTTTCACACCCATGATCATGAATACTCCAGTGAAACATCCCTACACTGGATGATCTTTTCTAGTTCCTTTGTTGCTGACTTTCCAAATCTCTCTCTTTTTCTAATGTCTTGGCTGCAGTCTGCATTTGAATAGATGTTTGAACCAAGCTAAGCAAAATCTTTAACAATTCCAGTTTCTTCATTGTTCACATTAAAGTTGTGCCATTTTTCAATAGTCATGATTTTTGTTTTGTCAATGTTCAGCTGCAGTCCTGCTTTTGCACTTTCTTCTTTCACTTTCATCAGGAGTCAATTCATTGCTGTTTTCTGCCAGTAACATGGTATGCTTTGTATAGCTTATTCATGTATCTTCCACCAATGTTCACTCCTTGCTTTGATCCTAATCCAGTTTTCCTTCTGTGCTTTGCATAAAACTGATAAAATAAAATACACCTTTGTCTGATGTCTTTGCCTATAGGAGGCCATCCCATTTCTCCATATTCTGCCCCAAGAGTACTTTCTTGTCCATGATACAGATGATAAGTACTGAGGTACACCCATTTATTTCAAATCCACCCAGAGTTTCTCATGATCCACACAACCAAAGCTTTGCTGTAGTCTGCAAAGCAGAGACTGATCTGCAGAAATCTTTTCATGCACTTCAGTAGCCAAAATATCTCAAGTGCATCTTCCTTTTCAGACTCTAAAATATCAGGCATTTCTCTCCCCATATATGGCTAAATTCTTTATTGCAACACCTTGAGCATCACTTTTCTTGCATGCGAAACCAGTGCATTGGTCTTATATTTGCTTCACTCTTTTGTGTCTCATAAGAACATAAGAAAAGCCATGCTAGATCGGACCCAAGGTCCACCTAGACCAACACACTGTACACACTGTGGCAAACCTTAAGCAGGATCGGTGCAAGACCTCCTCCTGCCCAGGCTCCTGGTTCATGAAGGCATGCCTCCTCTGGTAAAGGGGGTAGCACATCTCCTTGCTTGGGATTAGAATACTTGAGTGATAGTTATGTTCATAGGATTTCCACAAATTTCAATTATTTGGTTGGACTTTACATGAAAGCCCCTTATTGCCTGTGCCACAACCTTGCCTAAGTATTAAAGCCACTCTATTTCCTCTGAGTTTGTTATTTATGGAATAAAACATTTTGGTTTGTCTGGCTGAAAATGTCCCATTCCAGTCCACTTTAGTTTGCTCACACCAGGTACTGAAGCTTTTAACCATTGAATTCCTTGCTTTACAGTTTCCAGTTCGCTTTGATTCGTACTTGTCACATTTGATGCTCCAACTGTATGTTTTCCCTTTGTCTCTGTTCATGTCAACCACTAGGCTTCCTTTCCTTTCAACTTTGCTCTAGCTGCATTGTTAGTGACACCGCTATTCACATTTGTCCTTTGCTCTTCCCCAGCAGTGTTTCGAGTGCCTTCCAATGGGGTGGGGAGGCTGTCTAATCTTTGGACACTGTATCTTGTTTCATTTTAGATTGCTTCATCATAAGTTTCTCATGGTAAGAAATATTGAGAATGCAGGTTTGCCACTGCATTCTTTTGTGCAGTACTCACAGAAGAGAGCATGAGCTTCACTGCCATTGTCTGTGAAAGATCGTCCACTGGAGTTGCCTTCAACTACTGCTGCTCAGTAGCTGCCCTTCAGGACTTTCTCCCCTCTCAGTCACCATTAGAGAGATCCATTATCTTCTGCTAATTTATTTATTAAAAACATTTATATACCATGTGTGGAAACTGAGATTCCTCCAGAACCACGATTTCAGGGTTCCTCACCACCACGTCCAAGACTACCTCCAACAGCTCAAGCAAGAAATCTGATGTGCAGCAGGGTGGCTGGTACATAAACAAGATCCCTAATCTTTTTCGATTGCCCAGCACCCGGTGCAAACACACAAGGCCTGTCTTTGAGTGGACAGGAAGCCTGAAGAGAGGCAGTGTATTCTTATAGACTATAGCCACTCCCCCTCCTCAGCCCCCAAGGCAAGGTTGGTAGTGTACTGAGTGGCTGAGTGAACATAACTGGGAGAGAACAGCATCTACCCCACCTAAGTCTCAGCAATACAAGCAGATGTGACGGTTACTCCTGAAGAGGGTGCATGCATTCCGCCTTGGGTGGCTCCACTATGAAACTGGCCTAGCAAGACAGACTGGTGGCGCTGGTCTTGGCTTCTCACATTCTCAAAGCTCCTCCCCATCTTAAGTTGTGCACCTAAGAAGGGGAGTAACTTTGATAAACGGTATTTCAAACTTGATAGTTTGTGAATGATGAGCAGTTTAAAGTGAAGCAATAGGCATGTTGTCATCCTTATTTCCTTGAATGCCTCTGAGGCCCACATGGACTCGGAGACATTCATAGGAGGCAGCTGCTGGCTTTGACGCACTCTCAACCATTTCCTCAAAAGAAAGGACAGAACACATTGCCACTGCTGGGGAAGGACGGGAGTCTTGGGAATGGAAACAAGGTGGCCAAGGGAGAAATGGGAATTACCCAGTGGAGCTGGAGGAAGCAACTGGAAGGTGGGATATGGTTTCAGGTGACCAAATAGGGTGAAAGGAGGTGGAAGTGAAGCGATGAGGGTTTGGGGTTAGGGAAGGCTGCAGAGAGCTTTAGGAAGGCTTGCAGGATAACCCATTAGTATGGAAATTAACTAGATGTGTGTTGGGAAGATGGGGAGCAATTTTGACAGAATTGGGGAGTCAAAGGATTGGGTTTTAGTTCTAAAGCTTAGATGCAGCCTTGTTTCATATTCAAGTTCTTAAGTATGTTACTTGTCTCATAACCTCACCAATTTGCTTTTCTGTGGCCTGTGTGTTTTGTGATTGGCCACATCCATTCTGACATTCTCAAAATGTCAAAGGTTTCCACTAGCTCAAATCAGACTCAAGATCCTTCATTAATGCCTCCGGGTTTTAGCAAAGGCCTCCCTAGAATGCAAAACTCCATGAGGTTCCCCTTTGAGTTTTTAAAATGCACATCCCAGTAGCACGTTATTATTATTCTCTGCACAGGATTCTGAGCGATCCTGCTCACAGTACTTACTTGTGTGTCAGCTGTGGCCTCCATAATCAAACTCAGAAATGGAATATTACCAGTGAGTGCTTTGGGATTCTGCTGCTGTCTCTTCTGAAGAAGTGGCAGCATTCTTTGGCATTCAGCCAAAAGGTAACACTCAAGTTGGATAAGACAAGACTTTGTAGTTGGTGGTTCAGGCTGGTGCCAAAGTGCTTTCCAGAGGTTTCCTTGAGACTCAGGTGTGAGGTCGAAAAGAAACCCAGGTTGAGGATGCTATGGAGATCAGGGTGGTTGTTTACTGGTTTTCATGACTTGGAAATGATTGTCTTTTAAAAGTCATGGCCGAGACAAACTGGCTGAGAATGGAGAGAAAGGCAGAAGAACAGAGGGAATACAATTTTTAAAAAAGAGTTAAGCATGGAAGCATGAATACACAAGAAATCCAGGGTCTAGACAAAAGGACAAAGTAGTAAAATAGCTTTAGAGAAAAGCAAAGAAAAGGGACTATCCTAAGTGAAAGGTGTGGATGAACTGATAGAGCAGCCTGAAATCACCAGTGCCAAGGTAAAAGTTCTTGGTCACATGACCCTTGCCTTTCTTGAGAAATAATGTTCACTTATAAAGTGGTCACATTCAAAATACTAGCCAAGGCGAGTACTAGGTTACCCTGGCTTTAAACTCATCCTGCTATGAACTCATTAGATAATTTCTCATCACAGTCACACCCTATTTATATAAAGTGGGGATAACAGCAGCCTGGACAATTTATGTAAAACACTTAGAAAATTTGAATGGAGCTATATAAATGCTAAGCATTAAGCATACTTTATGCTGATAGGATACTTACTTCTCTCATGTACCCGTTCCTAAGTTTTCCTGACCTGCCTTGCTATGCATCAATGTGAATCCAAAGTAGCCACATGCCATGAAAATATCTGCTGCACTAGTAAAGAATTATTGACTTTCAATCATTTAAATAGTGAACAAAAATTCCTTCACTCTAAAATACTTAATTTTATTAGTGATGGTACCAAAGATAACAAGTATACAATCTTTGCTCTATGCTACTTACACATCATAAATATGACAGCTGCTGTTCCGAGACACAATCTTTCACAGTCCTTCAAGAAAAATCTGAGATTTGTCATTACGTTATCAGAATAAGCTGTTTGCTAGCCAACTGCATGTGGCTTCAACATCACAAAAAGTACTATCCATACTTTACATGGTAAAGCATTCACTATAGTTTTCATGTACACAGAAGCCAAAAGGAGGGGGAAACCTTTAGACTATAACAAAAGACAACGGGCTGTTAAAGCAGTGTCACAATCAATGGGCTTCATCACCACAGTGCAATTTAATTTTTCCATTTACCATAAAATGCTTACATGTCTATTAACTGCAATTTTGAGAACACATATTGAAAGCTACTATGCTTAGTTGGCTTTTTCAAACTCTTTTCCATGAGGTAAGGCAATTTGATTGTATTATGTCATATTCAAATAGCTCTTGATTTTAATACAGATAGCCTTCAGTCTTACAATGCTGAAATAGGTTCAGAGAGGAGTTGCATTTATCACTCACCGCTCTCTTACAGGCCATTTCCCAACAAGTAGATAGGAATTTGTGTGATTACTTTGTCTTCCATGGAGAAACTATTCCTGTCATGTTACACAACCAGTGTTAGAAATAACTGAGGATATCTAAAGATTGATTTCAATGCTGCATATTCAGTCCAGTACACAACCTGGTTAAGATCAACTACTTTTATTTAGCACAGTTCAATTCACTGAGTTGGCATACAGCCCAGTAGTTCATAGTCTAACTAAATTGGAGATTAGGTTAAGTCCACCTTAGGATCATCCTTGAACAGCAATTTTAGCCATTGAGTCTTTTTTCATCTATAGGGATATATGAACTGCTAGTGAATAACCAAAGACTGTCAAGGCCAATAGATCTTTCAAATGTTTTCCTATCTGTGTGACAGAATCATCTGAAGTTTGAGAACTAAATGAATAGGGGATTTAAAAGCACATAAACTTTTAGAAATCACTATTCTGTGTTTCAAAGAAGGCACTAAAGCATCAGCTTGTGCTCCCACATCCCATTTCAAAAGCAAAACATTTATTCTTGCCATGGGTATCTGTCCTAATTGCAGGTGACTGGGCATACTGCAATATAGCTCAAAACAAAGCCATTTATTTGAAAATTACTACATAGATGTGCTTATAGTCAGAAGAATGGAAATCCAGTATAAACATGACTGTTCTTTCTAGAATCAGAACAATTGCATGCATTGATCAACAACTAGTAAGAGAAAGATTTCAGACTTATAAAGGTAATTACTTAAAAATATAAAAAGAAAGTCACAAGCAATGAAGGAAAGAATGTTCACTTGCCTTTGTAGGCATAAACACAACAACTGTAAAACTGTGTTAGGTTAAAACTTTTCAGCACTGTCATTTACAACAACAAGGGAAGCATGTTATTTCTGCACCATTTTCAAGCACATCATCAAAACATATCACATGGAGTTTAGTAAGCAAAACAGAAGATCATCGGGGTACCAATATTTTAACAACTTCCAATGCCCAGCAGCTTATCTGGGTAGCAGAGATTACATCCACTTATCTGTAACAGCAGCAGGCCAATCTAATCATCACAGAAAAACAGAGGTTCCTTCAGATGAACAGATCTATGCTGTTGGCTTTTGTCACAGCATATCCTATTGATCAGTCCTTTCGTGCTTGTTTTTAAGATGGCCAAGCCACCAGAAAAACCAGAACAGCTTCTAGCACAATAAAGCAGGTCCGGATGATTATTTTTATCCTCTTTTGGTGGATTGTTGGGGATGGGAGGAAAAACCTTGCATTTCTTTCCACAGTTGGGCCAGAAGTTCATTCAGTACTCTATACGTCTTCTGTTTTAACTGAGATGTTTTCTTCATTTGGTTGACAGTTCCCATTTTGCTGCAGTTTGACTTCTTCTGCAGGACCTGTATCTTCCTTCTCTTCTTTTTCAATTTCAGAATTCTGGTTTTCTTTACTCAAATCTTTATCCTAAATTTTTAAAAATGTAAAGAAGTGTGTTATCAAAAGGGTACACTGCAAAAAAGTATGCAAAGGCAAATGATATACTGACAAACCAGGTTTATTAATATGCAAAACAAAGAATTTAGGTTTACAGGATAGACACTCATTTTTAAAAAAGACAAAAGACTCTAAAAGTCTTTCCAAGCTCCAACTATGGAGGAAAAGACTGGAAATATTACAGATTTTTAATTTTTGTTTCAAAACTGGGCTTTGAACAATATACTTTGCAAACATGCCATCCCAACAGCAAATCAACTGCTAAGGAATTATCACGAGACTCCTTTTTAGGCTGAACAGGTAATGATTAAAAACATATTTTCAAATGATCTACACCACTGCTCTACATCATCAATTTATTTCCTTTATTCCTGTGGTCCATCACTAGTCCATTGCTACTGGACTTCCTACAATACATATTTTTCAATTATCATCATCATCATCATGTCAGACAATATGTCAAATCTCAAATGCCTGGGCAAAGCCAGCTGTTTTACCCTAATATTAAAAAGGGATTGGCTTCTCCCTTGAGTAGATTAAATATTCTACCGAATATTATTGAGAAGCTTCTCATCAAACCTCAAAACAGTCGTGCCTCCATCCCAGATATTACAGCTTAGTTAAAAACTGCGCAGCGAGTTTTGTGAACCCAACAGAGCCTGGTTTCCCCAAGCCCGTCACCTGTACCTGCAAACATCTTTTGAAACCAAAGCTGTTTCAACAGCAGTTTGTCATATGGCATTGGACTTACCAATCAAAAGCACAATCAAATTCCACTAACCATGCCAAATGTGCATCTCAAAAAAGACAAGGGAAAGACTATCTTGGTCAGGTGCTACAGTTCTGCATAACAAGGGACTTTTCCAAGAGAGGAGCATGCAATCTGCATGAGCCCCTGATATCCTGAGCATTACACCTATTCTCAAGCAATGACGCTGCACTGCTTTCCCGGTAATCTGGCCTAGCCTTCAAAAGCTGACCATGTGCATAGGTTATCGTCACCTAACATTTGGTCTATTACCAACCTGATGCCATCAAAGGTCATTCTAAAATGGCATCTGTCTAGATGCTGCTACTCATCTACTGTATGGTTACTGAGATTTCCTACAGCCCTTTTTCCTACATGTATTGATTAAAATGTTATCAAAAATCCCATGTATTTTAGTGGTGTTCTATAATATAAGGAGGATGCCACATATCAGCCACTCCTAGGAAGAAGTGCATCAAGTAGTCCCACCTCATCCCATGGCTCTCACTGACTTGTGTGCTCAGAGTGGCTTACCTTGATAGCTGTGGTCTTCTCAGACTTTTCTTTCACATCTTTGTCTTTACTGCTCTTTTTCTTGGAAGTAGAGTGCTCTCTCTCTCTCCTATCATTACTCAAGTCTCTCTCCTTCTCCGACTTTTTGTCTTTCTTATTTCTGTTTCAAAGTAAGAATTATATAGCTGTAGTTTGTAGGGACAATATGTGCCCTGCTCATGTTTCCCCCTTATGCATTCACTATACACACACAGGGCCCTTTTCACATGAACTCTAAAAGCGAACTGTGAAGAGACAGACAGGTAATCAGTGAACATACAGATAGCAGTAAGGCAGGACCAATTGGCAGGGTCCCATCCGCTGACTACATGAGGTGGAGCATGAGAACTACATTATTTAAGATACTGAAATGACGGCCAAAGCATTACTTGTATATTGAAAGCTCTATATTGTCGTGTTTGCGTTACTACTTTCTATTCCTATACTGTGTCTACATACACCAGCACAAACATGAAAATGCTAAAGATATACTATTTGATGAAAAATCTTTCATGTCACTCAAGTTTACTCAAGGTTCTTCACTGTATAACAAGGAGGAGGACATAGAATATACATTAATAAGCTACTTATAGAAAAAAAATATGCATCATCAATGAAGAGCAGAAGCTCTAATTCCTTAGGTCTCTAACATCAATTTAGAACCTGTTGATTGGTATCAAGTGTAAGTTCTTTGGAAAAGAAAAATGGGCGGGGCATCAGTGAAAGAAATACAGATGGAATAAGGGACTGCGCAAGAGCATAGCAGTGCAACATGACGCAAGACCATTCAGCCAGCCAGCAGGACTGCTTGCCAGGTAAGCCACCCACCCCCATCCTCTAGCATGAGCACAACCCCACAGAACAGAAACGCGGACCCAACTCAACAGGACAATGAAGTCAAAATATGTCTATTTATTTCATTTCATTTACTTTACTTTCTTTGTAAGGTGCATAAAAGATTACAAAGAAAACAATAACAATACAGTCAAAAGAATCCAGATAAAAACCAACATAAAAGACTGCAACAAAAATGAAAGGCTTCAAAAACAAAAGATAAAATGGTTAGTTTTCTTTTCTTTTTGGTTGGGGGGGTTCCTACCATTTTTAATCAATTAAGAGGCTGTTAGCGCCAGTGTGGTGTGTTGGTTAGACTGCTGAACTGGGGACCTGAGAGATCCTGGGTCTAGACCCCACTCCTCCATGAAACTCCCTGGGTGACTTTGGGTCATCATTCCCTCTCAGCCCAGCCTCCTTCACAGGGTTGTTGTTGTGAGGATAAAATAGAGCTAGGCAAGCCATTCTGGGTTCCCACAAAAGGAAAAAAGGCAGAACATAAATGCAACATAATAATAAAAAGTGAAGTTTTCATTTAGATGAAGACTGTGCTGGGAGGCAGCCTGCACATTTCAAGGATACGGCATGATAATGAACTCACCTCCTCGGTGATGGAGACCGGGAAGATTTCCTTTTTGTGACTTTGGATGGTCTAGGAGACTTTGAGGGACTTCGGCTCTTCCTCTTCCGTCTATCTCTGTAGGATTCACACAATGAGATCAGTCAAATTCAATACAATGTCAACAGTGCAACTTACCAGAAAAAGTTGAGGTGTGGAATTCCCCTAATTAGTTTCAGTCAGTCAGTCAGCCAGGCACAGCCCCTACCCTGAGCTTCCATTTCACTCCCCCATGAGTGACTCTGAATCCCATGGCCAGTAAGAATTCCCAGTGCTCATTAGGCTGCCCTGATTCCTCCGCTCCCTTATGATATTTTATAAATAACCCCCTCCCTGCGAACTCTGCAAGCTGCAGGTGTCCCTCAGACCTGCTGTTACCTTCCACTTGTGCACCAGCAATGGCATTTTGGATACACATGCTCACTCATGCACACTGGAAACTGAAGGTATGGTAAGCAAGAGCGGAGACCTGTGTCTGAGCATTTTGAGCCTGTTCACATATCAAGAGGGATTGCTGTGATTTAATTTAGTGCAGGGGCTGTTAAATAACCTATGGAGTACTGACTTTGTATGATTTTTTTTAAGTTAACATTTTCATAATACCCACACTTACATAGAGTATCATCCCTGCTTAACAGAGGTGCATGGCAGCAAACTAATAAGCCTAATCAAATGGTTGGTGTTGGACTGGAACTCCAGGCCCCATTTGGCTACAATGCTCACTGAGTAACACTGGGTCAGTCGCAGCCAACCTCCCTCACCTTTACAAAATCCTAGTGTAGCAAGTCATGTTTGAAATGATCTGACACTCTGTCAGTGCAATGCACCACCCCACACTTGGTGACACTGGCAAATACAGCAGATTTCAATTCATCATTCTTTAATCACTTCAATTTTTAATCATTTACTATCTGATGTCAACCTAAAGGCTTCACTAACCATTGACTACTTATCTCCATTCAATACTAGTGAGACGCTAGCTTGAATACTACACTTTGACTATATTTTAAAATGGAAAACAAAACAAAAAAGTAAACAATAAAATCAGACAGACAGACCTGCTGGAACTACGTGATCTTCTTGAAGCACTGTAGCTTCTAGGTGGTGTTCTGGACCGCTTCTCCTTCTTCTTCTTCTCATCTCTTTCCTTCTCTTTCTCTCGTTCCCTGTCTTTATCCTTGTCTTTTACCTTCTCAACCTCCTTGTCCTTTTCTCTCTCTTTTTCACTCTTTTTCTCCCCATCTTTTTCTTTCTGTGAGTCTTTCTCTTTGTCCTCCTCTTTTCCCTTTACTTGTTCTTTGTCATCCTTCTCCTTGCCCCCTTCCTTGTCCCTGCCCTTTTCCCCTTCTTTGTCCTGATCCTCTGCCTTCTCTTTTTCTACATCGGTGACTTTCTCTTTCTCCTTCTCTTTCTCCTTATCTCGGTCCCTCTCTCTATCCTTGTCCTTGTCTTTCACTCTGTCCTTGTCTCGATCCTTGGTCCTTTCCTTGTCTCTCTCTCTGTCCCTGCCTCTCTCCTTATCCCTGCCCCTATCTTTGTCCCGGTCTTTCTCTTTTTCTTTTTCTCGGTCTTTTTCTCTAATCTTATCTTTTTCTCTGGTCCTCTCTTTGCTTTGCTTCCTCTTCTCCCTGTGGGGAAAAATTATTAATTTAACTCATTCATAACTTTCCTGATAACTGAGAGTCATCATCAAATCAAGCATTCAGAATGACCAACAGATGAAATGTAACAAACAGTACTTAGTAGTAGTAGAGTGGTACCTCGGCTCATGAACTTAATCTGCTCCATGACACCTGGTCACGACCTGAATTGGTCGTGAGCCAAGTCAAATTACCCCATAAGGTTCGATGTTAATCCATTCTGAAAATATTTTTTAAAACACAAAAATTTGCAACAAAGAACAACAAAGTAGCAAAGTACAGTAGAGTAGAGAACAATCACCTAGGTTGGGGGGAGGTTACTGTTTGGAGGAAGAGTCCCCATCCATAAGGATATCGGGGAGATCTCTTTCTGGGGTTTCCTCTCTTCGTCTCTTAGCAGCAGGGTCAATTTTGGCGAAAAAACTGCACGTTCTTGTCACCTTCATTACTGCTCCACACGTTATTTTTACCACCATGCTTGCTCTGCACTTTCTTTGGACCCATTATTCAATAAGCTTTGCAGCAAGTGACCACAAGTCTGTCTGCAACTGCGAGCGGGGAAGATGGCCGCGATCACAATTGTGTTTGTGCCGGAACATGGCCGCGATCGCAATCGTGTTTGTGCGGGAACATGGATGCGATCGTGGTTGTCACCCGATGCGGAGTTCACAACCTGAGGCAAAATTTTTCCAAAATTTCTGTTTGTGACCCGATTCGGTCATGAATTGAGGTGTTCGTGAGCCAAGGTACCATTGTAAATCTAGTAAACTGACTTGTCCCTCACATTATGGAGAAATCGGTTATTAAATTTAAAAAGTGCACAAGGGCTACAAGCCAACCCCGATTCTATAATGAAACTGTAGCCCTAAATCCACTATCAGAATTTTGTCCAACATCTCTCAATGCTTGACTATGGCTGTAAAAAAAAAATCCAGTAGTTTAACGATGAGAGTCTCACCGAGAAGGAGAACGGCTTCTTGATCGTCGTCGTTCTTTAGATTTTGATCGCTTTTTGAGTGGACTTCGGGATCTGAGCCTGTCCTTCTGACTAGAGCGTGATCTATCACGGGACCTACTCCTGTAGCAGTAGAAGAGAAATGTTTCGTTCTATATTCATTCATCAAGCTTATTTAAAAATCATCCGATCTAAATTGCAATCTGTAATTTGTGGTCCAAACCACTTTATGCATTACCAGCGGCAAACTATACAATACTCCACAACAAGGTCTCAGTCAAAATGCTATTTTTCACAGGTGGAAAAAAACCCATTTACACACAAATCATTCTTGTACCTCAGCCAATGATTTCCCTGCAGAAGAAAAAACCATGTCAAAACTGTTCCTTCACAAAACAGTCTCACTGCACATGCTCAGACTCTTCCATAGTGCTGTTATTTACTGCAACAGCTGTTTGAAAAAACAGCATCTGCCTTGTATGTAGCAACTTTGTAAAGGGGCCAATGTCACAGTGTGAGTTCCCACCAACCAATTTTTGTATTTCTGGTTACAGGCTCTGCTGTCACAGACTATCAGAGTAACATGGCTGTCCCACTGAGAGATTCCAAACACTTCCGACTTCACCAAATATACCACTTGCACTTATTCTAATTTCCTTGTATTGTATCATTTTACATTTTTATTCATCTGTAAATATGAATAAATATTTACAGCAGTAAATATGTGAAACCCAGGCTAAAAACAAGTACCTGTCACTTCAAATGGGAAATAGGCAACTGGGATTGCACACTCATTTTAAACAAGCCCATTTTAAATTATGAATAATGTCATTCCCTATTAGGATCTTAAACAGTTTGATAGTTGCCTGATTGGATGTGAAATCTGAGGGCAAGGAGTAGGGGTTAAAGAGGAATGCTACAAAGCTAGAAGCAATAAAAACAAAACCATGTAAAAGGTAAGGAAGGAATAAAATAATGAAATGAATGTCCAACAAATGTGAACATAATACCATGTGACTTGTGAATTAAACAGTGGCCACATTTCTGCCTTATCATAAGCAAGCTGTGTGTACTGCATGCACTGAAAATGTTTGCTCCCACTTTGCTTAGCATGCTGTCCAAATCCAGCTTGTCTTCTGATGTTTTTCTTCCCTGTTCCTGGGAAAAGGATCTGCAAGCTAGACTTTTGCAGGAGATGGCAGCAGCGATCCACTCCTGATGCTTTGACAAAAGCTTAGTGGGATACAAGAAACCACCTCCCTTCCCTAGCACCCCTCTGCAGGAAATAAGGGATAATCCGTTGCTTCTACTAGTGACTGCTGACATTTTTTGCAAACTGGACTAGCAGAAGCCATCTTGTTCCCTTCCCATCTGATTTTTGGAATAACCACCAGCAGCAAGGCATGGCCCCTTCTGCAAAGGAACCACTTGGAAAACCTCTCCTTTCTGTCCAGTCACCTGTGAAGGAAAAAGAGAGTTGTTTTTCCTGCAAGCCAGGCTTCTGCAGGAAGTGCCAACTGCACCCAGCTGCTATCTCTAACCTAAACAGGAAGGGAAAGAGACTATATATTCTGCTGCAAAAAAGAAAGGGGGCATGGAAGTTCTTTCTCTCACCTGTGGGGTTTAGGAGAAAGCAGTAGAGATGTTAGTGTCAGCACTTTGTACAAGAGCCCAGCTTTCAGAAGAAAATGCCTATTTTTTTCCCCATGGAGAACAGGGAGACAAGGAAATGTAGTTTTCCAAAAGCAAAACTTTTTGGTGAAAGCTTGCCAAACTAGTGATGGAAACTAGGAAAATTTGCCAAACTGCCTCCTAGGAAGGCCTTGGCAGATATAGGCGGCCTATAAATCCATGTATACATATATAAACAAACAAACAACAAGCAAGCAAACTTGCTGCTAGTTAGACAAGAAGATTAATGGTTTTGGCTTCAGCTGCCTCTGTTTGCCTGACATTGTTTCCCTATAGCTGATATCTAGGCTTGAGAAATCATACTGCCAAATGATGCATCATTTCATGAGCCTATCAACAGTATCTGATTGCCCTTAGCTAATCATTCCCAAAAACCTACTTTACAACACAGAAGGAACGGATCAATTACTGCTCTTGGATTTTTTTAATACATGAGACTATTACCTGCGTTTTGAGTGTGATCTTTTCCTTCGAGATTTTGAACTAGACCTGGATTCTGAACGTGAATGCGAGCGCGACCGACCAGCTTTTCTTTCACTGCTCTTTCCAGACTCTGAGAGAAAAAACGACTTTGCAGTGTAAGCTCAGAATATTTAAAGATCCCAGCTAACAATCTGGCACAAGTGGAATGTACCACATATATTGCAAGGGGCCTACTCTCTGCACATCTTCCTTCTTTGCAAAAATCCTTCAGAAACATCCAAGAAAGTCATTGCATATATTCGCTGAGTGCAGCCATCCTGCAGCAGTACACATAAACCAGATAATTATAAACAGCTAGCTAAATAAGGAATGGGATTTATGTTGCTGCCACAATGCACAAGATTAAAACACGTTTGGTAAAACTGATTTCAGAGAAAAAGCACACGTTCCATGATAGCAATTTGAAAAAACTATGCAGAAATGCACACATTAGCACTGTATTTTATTGTCAAAGCACTAATAAGTAGTGTTTACATTTTTTTAGAACTCTAAAAGGTTAGGGAATGTTTTAAACCTATGAGGAAACCAGTAACTTCAGAACTGTGCCAGGAAAACAGATTCCACCACCCCTATTCACATTTTAACCACAGTTTCAGTAATGTATTTATATCTAATTACTACATGAAGTAGTAGACTGACTCATTCTTTGTCTTCAGTTCTTTCCAAAGTTAGTCAAACAATGGTTTACTTGAAGGTCACTGCTTTTCACAAGAACTGTTTGTTAAATTCAGATGGATTTGATGAACTCTACCCAGTTAAATGAAGGAAGAACAGAAACTACATTTTCCCTTTAACACAGTTACAGATATTTTTGAGCAATTCTTTGCTGCAAAGGTTATCATATACTTTTTACAACAAGGAAAACAAAGCAAAGATCCAAAAATGCTAGTTTCTTTGTAAGATAGCTAAGAAAACTGCACACAAAGGGTACTTTTTCTTTAATTAGTTTTTTTAAACTCAATAATGAACAAGTTAGGTATTTCAGCCGTTTTCATTAGATGTAATATTCTTTTGTCTGTGAGTTCTCTTCTGAAACTGGCTAAATGATTAACATCACCAATTTTCATCCACTTTCTAGCAGCTTCTGTGAAGAGGAGGGAAGAAGATGGAGGTCTGTGTAGAGGTAATGCACCTAAGTCTGGAAAACCGAAGCTTTCAATCTTCACAGAAGATTTTTTTTTTTTTTGAGCCTTCGATCAGCCCATAACTTGGGTTGTTATATTTGAACCTCTACCTATATCCCTCATTTTCAAAGAAACTTCTATGATATCTGTGATATGAATATTTACCAGTTTCACAAGAGGGCTCTAAAACATGAGATGATTATTATATATCTTTCTCATGAGTTCAGATACTGCAAGAAACTAGTTTAACAAGCTGGGAAGTATCCTCTGAAGCCTGGTACAGAAGAGATGGGTATGTGGAGGGAAATAGTATTTGAAGTTGTGTTTTGTCCTGAATCCAACAAATCAAGGCTTACTGAACCAAGAATGCTACATTTGAACACAAGTGGGAAGTGATACAGGAGCCCAGAGGCAAACAGTTGAAAGGAGAGGTCTAGAGGAAGGAGGTGTGGAAGCAACAGAAACTTAAGGACAGAAAGGAAAAAGCAGTGAAAAAATGGCCAACAAGAGAAAGGGATTAGGAAAAAGATCTCATAGGTATGTTTGATGGCTAATTAAAAGCACTATACTTAGCACTTTGACAATAGAAAACAGTGCTATCAGATGCTTGAACAGCACCATATTGCTTGTAAAAAATTACCTACAACTAAACCAGTCAGACATCATCAAGTATTTAGTCCACTGGCTGTTGCTCTGGATAGCCTTGATCTATTTCTAAAAATAAAAAAGAAAAGAAAGAAAAGAAAAAAATAGCTCGTCTAAATACACACCAGGATTCACACCTGTAGAGAAATTTATTTCTTGCAATGCAAGTGGATATCTACCTGGCTCAATAGCAGCAGATATAAATGACTGGGCTTCCCGTACTCTTTTCATCACTTCTTCCAACTCCTTAGCAGCAGCTTGTGGGGTCATTTCTGGAGGCTTCACTATTGCATTATTGGAGTGATTTATTCTAAATTAAACATATAGATTTAATGCAGTGTATACATTACTGCACATAGACACACACTAAAAATAAACACTTCATATATCAAATATCAACACCTCAATTTGCTTTGCATTGGGAGAATAATCTCTCTCATTTTGCAAACTTAAATTCTCTCCCCCCATGTTTTAAACATTGCAAATGTCTGAAAGAGAGGCACGACAAGCGACTGTAAGTTTTTACAGAACTGCCAGAATTATGGCACATTTTCTATAAAATGCTTTAATAGACTTAGATTTACATTTGTAATGAAGGATGTCTTACTACTTTTACTTGTATTAAAGCTGGAAGAGCAAACAAGATGCTATGCCAAATTTACTTCTTCATTTAGAACACAATGGCTGAGTTTGCACCTCACGACAATCCATACTGACAATAAGCCATGGTGTGCTGGAGATTTCATGCAGAGCCTGCAGTGCACCTGATGAACTTCACCAGGGACTGTTTGCTCCCTCTGTCCCCACAGTCCTCCAGGTAGGATCACAGGGAACGCTCAAGCAAGACCAAGATGTCTCTCCCTCCCCACCGAGAGGAAGAACAGCTTTTGGCAGCCACAGCCCTTTTTTGCCCCTCAAATTTTCCTCCCAAAGAAAGTGAAAGACAGTATGACAGATGACTTTCACAATCCCCATTCTGATAGCCACTGACAGTCCCTGAAATGGCTAACCAGAACCCATGTAAGTAATTTCCCCACACACACATTATTTTGCACATTATTTTTAATTTTTTTGCCACACTACACAACTGAGGACATTCCCACTTGGGTGAATGAAGGGATTAGAAGCATCACCTGGGGCAAGATCCTGGGGATACCTGCTGCCAAAGTACAGCAGGGACCAATCCTGGAATTCTTCAAAGAGACCCAAATAAATCCCCACTTTGGATTCTCTTAACATCTGTCAGCAGGCAAGTGATTTTTAAAGCATCGTTTGCTGATGTTTGCTCATGAAAAGGGGATGGTGTGATTCCAGCAAGATTCCCAACCTTTTCTCCCTTGACAATTCTTAGGATAATGCAAAGTTTGCACTTTTTATTTTTTGAGACCTTAGGTGCTGTGGAAAGTGCAAAAGTGCTCCCCTATCCCCCTTTTCAGGGGAAAAGGAATATTCTTTGTCCCCTTAAAAGGCAGTTTTGATTGGACATACAGCCATTATGTTGCTCTGCAAAACCACCCATTGTCTTAATCTATCTTGGTCAGTAACTTTAAAATGTGATACCTGAAATTATCTGCCATTCTCTTCCTTTCCCAGTCCATTTGATGTCTCTTAGATTGTAACCTGCAGGCAGGCACAGTCCTATTTTTAATCTCTGTACAGCACTTAGAAATGTTTAGGTTTTATGTAACTGGCAGTTGTTCTCCAGGTCAGGCAGATAAGTTTCACATCTCCTATGCAATCCTTTTAACTGAACATGGTAAAGATGAAACTGCTCTTCTGCATGCAGGCTATGTTAATCCAAAAGAACTCAGTGGGTTAATGAATGGGTCATACTGGCCTACATTTAACATTAAGAGCACAGTGCTACTGATTGTGCCCTCAACACTTGAGAGCCTCTGAAGCACTCTGCAGTTCAGCTAGACGGCCAATTTTAAACATCCAGCCATGCACTCTGGAGTGGGAATGAAGCCAGAATATCTTGCATCCTGTCTCAGTCTTCTCCCTTCTTGGCACTCTGTCTACTTTGCTGCCTCTCCGAGGTTGATTTCTTGACCTCAGAGAAACAGCCAACAGTTCTTTCTGTGGCAGCTGTGGCAGCAGGAGGGGGAATGGAGCACAGATCTCCAGCTCTGTGGTTGAAGTTCTGTTTATAACCTGGGACGCTGAAGTATCCTATGGCCTCCTAGATGGTGCCACAGAATTACTCTCAAAATTAATTAGTATTAACATGAATTGTTAGCTGTTCCTACCATAGGCTTTATAAACAACTTGCTTTGTTGGTCGTAAAAGAGTTACCTAAAGTACCACTAAGATAGTAAAAACTGTATGAAAAACCTTTCAGGGATTCTTCAAACCCTGTGCGCCCACTGCAACACACTTTAGGGATTAAATAAAAGCACAGACTTTGGCATAACATTTTACAATTAAAAACAATGCATACAAATACCACTACAGAATGCCAATTCTTCGTTAAAAATACACCATAATGTCTATGTATTTCAGAAGTTTCCTAAGACTAGGCCAAATTGTTAACTGACAAAAGTCTTCAGGAATAAACTGCAATTATACACAAAATTTCTTTGTATTTAATTTAATGTGACAGTATGTTTAGTTTTCCCTTCATGGATCACTGCCTTGTCGTGGCGAAGGGGCTTGCATAGCTCAATGAAGCTATGAGCTATGCCATGCAGGATCACCCAAGACGGGCAGGTCATAGCAGAGAGCTCTGACAAAATGTGATCCACTGGAGAAGGAAATGGCAACCCACTCCAGTATCTTTGCCATGAAAACCCCACGGACAGTACCAAAGGGCAAAAAGATATGATGCCGGAAGATGAGCCCCCCAGGTCGGAAGGTGTCCAATATGCTACTGGGGAAGAGCTGAGGGCTAGTACTAGTAGTGCCAGAAAGAATGAAGTGACTGGGTCAAAGCCGAAAGGACACTCAGTTGCAGATGTATCTGGTGGTGAAAGGAGAGTCCGATGCTGCAAAGATCTATACTCCATAGGAACCTGGAATGTAAGATCCATGAATCAAGGCACGCTGGATGTGGTCAAACAAGAGATGACAAGACTGAACATCGACATCTTCGGAATCAGTGAACTAAAATGGACAGGAATGGGTGAATTTAATTCAGATGACCATCAGGTACCGCAGGCAAGAATCCCTCAGAAGAAATGGAGTAGCCTTCATAGTCAATAAAAGAGTAGGAAAAGCAGTACTGGGATACAATCTCAAAAATGACAGAATGATCTCAGTTCAAATCCAAGGCAAACCATTCAACATCACAATAGTCCAAGTCTATGCCCCAACCACTAGTGCTGAAGAGGCTGAAGTTGACCAGTTCTATGAAGGCCTACAACACCTTCTAGAATTAACTCCAAAAATGATGTCCTTATCATCATGGGGGATTGGAATGCTAAAGTAGGAAGCCAAAAGATAACCGGAATAACAGGCAAGTTTGGCCTTGGAGTACAAAATTAAGCAGGGCACAGGCTGGTAGAATTTTGTCAAGAGAATACAATGGTCATAGCAAACACTCTTTTCCAACAACCCAAGAGACAACTCTACACATGGACATCACCAGATGGTCAACACAGAAATCAGATTGACTATGTGCTCTGCAGCCAAAGATGGAGAAGCTCTATACAGTCAGTAAAAACTAGACCAGGAGCTGACTGTGGCTCAGATCATGAGCTTCTTGTTGCAAAATTTAGGCTTAAATTGAAAAAAGTAGGGAAAAGCATTAGTCACTCAGGTATGACCTAAATCATATCCCTGATGAATATACAGTAGAGGTGACAAATAGATTAAAGAAATTAGATCTGATAGACAGAGTGCCTGAAGAACTTTGGACAGAGGTTCGCAACATTGTACAAGAGGTAGCAACTAAAACCATCCCAAAGAAAAAGAAATGCAAGAAAGCAAAATGGCTGTCTGAGGAAGGTTTACAAATAGCTGAGGAAAGAAGGGAAGCGAAAGGGAAGGGAGAAAAGGAAAGATACACCCAATTGAATGCAGAATTCCAGAGAATAGCTAGAAGAGATAAGAATGCCTTCTTAAATGAACAGTGCAAAGAAATAGAGGAAAACAATAGAGTAGGGAGGACAAGATATCTCTTCAAGAAAATTGGAGATAGGAAGGGAACGTTTCATGCAAAGATGGGCATGATAAAGGACCAAAATGGCAGGGACCTAACAGCGGCAGAAGAGATTAAGAAGAGGTGGCAAGATTACACAGACGAACTATACAAGAAAGAGCTGAACGTCCCTAATAACCACTGACCTCGAGCCAGACATCCTGGAATGTGAAGTCAAATGGGCCTTAGGAAGTCTGAGCAACAACAAAACTAGTGGAGGCGACAGTATTCCAGCAGAGCTATTCAAAATCCTAAAAGACGATGCAGTAAAAGTGCAACACTCAATATGCCAGCAAATTTGGAAAATTCAACAGTTGCCACAGGATTGGAAAAGGTAAGTTTACATTCCAATCCCAAAGAAGGGCAATGCCAAAGAATGTTCAAATTACCACACCATTGCACTCATTTCACATGCTAGCAAAGTGATGCTCAAAATCCTACAAGCTAGGCTCCAGGAGTATGTGAACCAAGAACTACCAGAAGTACAGGCAGGATTTCGAAGAGGGAGAGGAACCAGAGATCAAATTGCCAACATCAGCTGGATCATGGAGAAAGCTAGGGAGTTCCAAAAATAATCTACTTCTGCTTCATTGACTATGCTAAAGCCTTTGATTGTGTGGATCACAACAAATTGTGGCAAGTTCTTAAAGAGATGGGAGTACCAGACCATCTTATTTGTCTCTTGAGAAACCTGTATGTGGGTCAAGAAGCAACAGTGAGAACTGGACACGGAACCACTGATTGGTTCAAAATTGAGAAAGAAGTTCGGC